AGAATAGGTGAAAAGGTGAAAATTGAGCTAGAAATGTTTTGACCGGTTCACATGAAAGAGGAAGGTTCGTGACGGAGTGCTAGAGCGTCGAAACGCCATTCAGAGAAAGAAAACGTGAAAATGGAGCTAGACATGTTTTGACCAGTTCAAGTGAAAGATGAAGGTTCGTGACGGATTGCTAGAGCCTCAAAACGCGATTCGGCAAAAGTCATAATTTTACCTCCCGGAGGCCGAAAGAGTGTACACCATGAGGTGAGAATAGGTGAAAAGGTGAAAATGGAGCTAGACATGTTTTGACCGGTTCAAATGAAAGAGGAAGGTTCATGACGGAGTGCTAGAGCCTCAAAACGCGATTCGGCGAAAGTCATATTTTGACCTCCCGGAGGCCGAAAGTGGGTACACCATGGGGTGAGAAAAGGGGACAACATGCTACGCCAACACGGCCATAAGGTCTTGAGATTACCACCGTACCACTGTGAACTCAACCCAATAGAACTTATCTGGGTAGACCTTAAAAGTACAGTGGCCCGGAAAAATCAATCATTCAAGTTTAATGATGTCAAGCACATTGTCAACACTGCTATATGTGACATTGACATTGCACGCTGGCATGCATGTGTTGAACATGTCAAGAAGGTGGAGAAAGAGTACTGGCTCAAAGATGGCTTGAAGGAGCAAACAGTTAATCCAGTTGTCATTCGTCTGGACACTGATGACTCCTCTGTGGAAGAGTGGAGTGAACTTGATGAAGTTTAATTCTGTTATTATATTTACAGATAATAATAGTATCCAGCCAGATATGCTCAAAGAAATATAACTTCTTTTAACAATGGCAGCACTGACTAATTCCAACGACTTAAAGTGTAACATGAAACACTCATTTCACATAAAATTATCATGAAAATATAAATATTAACTATCTATATGCTTCAAGCTATTAGAAATGCATTGCTTAATTTGGAATGTGAACGACATAAAAACATAACACTTTTGTCTTCATTCTATCTTTTCTTCAATGAGTGTGCATGATTGTGTGTGCTTGTGTCCAAGGGAACGGGGCTTTAACAGTTGTTGAGTTCTAACCATAGGTGGTCCGATTAATGATTTAGTGTAAATATACTTTCTGTGTTCTTTAAATGCATTTCCACTTAGGTACTGCATAAACAAAATATGACATTAACATTACAAATTTCAAGATTTTAACCTACAGAATAATTCTCACTAATGGGTTTTGTGGTTAATGTTGAACAACTCAGAGAAACAAACTCCGTATGATGGTTAACAGTTGGCGCCCACCTTACCCTATTCACGACCTGTGACACCTCTTCATACCTGTCACGTGCATAGCTGACCTACATTGACGAACGTTGACCTTTATGACCCAAAACTGCCGCTGTTACAGGTCATTGGCTCCCTCCCTCTGCAAGCCGTCTGCGTTCTGCTGTTTATTTTGTTGACAGTTACATAGACAGATTCTTTAATACAAATGCATAAAATCGGTGATTTACAATGTGATTAGGTTGTCTGACACAACATCCACTTGCACAGTTTGAGATCGATTGGGTCATTGGATAAAGAGATATTTACAAAAAAACGGGTCCACATGCATTTCATGCCAAACTATAGGCCATGTCAGCATGTTGCCACATGAAGTTCCCATTAGGCCATGTCAGCATGTTGCCACATGAGTTATTGCACAAAATGTCAACAGGGATCCAAATTGGCCTCTAAGACTGGAAATTCCTTGGGATTACCTGAGTCGTGATGTTTGTAGGGTCCTTCAGGAAAGGAACTGTTTGTCACCAAGTGGACTTGTAAGTAAAACTGTAGATGCAGTTAGGAAGAAAACAGAATGAGCCTCTAAGCTCCACATTGGTATTACTGCACAAGAGATGGCTGCTGAATTTCCTGACAGCTTAGATGATGGATTTCAAAAGTAGGACAAAGTAATATATCTGCTAGAATATCGAAAATTTCTACAAATCTATTGCAACTGTTGTAATATCATTTTATAATCAATGTGGAAGAGCATGTTTTACGACTAGTACATAATTGTTCTTGATTACATGTACTGGTATGAGTTGATGTAGAACTTAATACCGTTAGTAAGTACTTGGGATTTATCAAGGTCTGTCAGTCAGTCATAGTGAGTTGCCATGTTCTAATTCACATCATCTATATGCACAACGTTGTGTATATTGTACCCGATGTCGTGTATATTGTGGTACAATAAACACGACTGGGAAATTTCCATCCCTGCTTTGCAAGACATGCTGTGATTAGTAGATAGCTTTTAAACTGGTTACAAGCCCTAGTATCGCCTGAGTTCAAGCGTAACAGTAGGTGGACGTGATCCGGGTCATTTAAGGGTTATTTTTAGCCATGGTATAGGGTTGTGACATCCCAGATGTATCCTGGGTCGGGCTTTGACATCTGGATTTATTACCCTTTAGATAAATTTGTCAAATTCTGATTGGTTAATAGCAAAAGCATACGAAACCATGTTGGCGGATTTGCCAGGGTGTACGAACCATACACCCCTTAAAATCTGCCACGTGACACACTACACGGGTTGTACGAATGACCTTGATCTCAGATGGAATGTGGCTGCCAAACGGCTGATCGCTTCAAATGCGTCTTCAAATGCGTCTCATTCTGCCGAAGGTTGAATGTTGTTGTTTAAAGATAAGCTAAATTAAAAGATCTAAAGGGTAATAAATTCGTCACATTAGTTACATGGTGTTTTGAGAGGGTGTACGTGACTGTAAGACCCTGAGGCGCAGCTAAAGGAAATACGGAATTTACAAGGGTCTTACAGTCCCTTTCATCCTTTCAAAACACCATGTAACAAGAAGACAAAGTCATCAATATCCCCGCAATGGCAAAATACTCTTCATGATTATGTCTACGAGTTTTGATTATGTCAAATATTTAGGTGTGTATATAGAAAAGTGGAAGGAGAGCATTGAAAGGTGTTTTAAGTTCTGCTCCAGAAAGGAGCACTATCACCAATTTCAGTCTAAGTCGAAATTGTTGCCATGGAAACGCCAAAAATATTTTATTCAGAATTCCAAAACTGCCAAAAGGCACCAGTACACCACCAGATCAATGTATGTGCCAAGTTTGGTGAAGAAATATTGAACGCTTATAGAGTTCTGCTCCGGAAAAGACAAATGTGCACAGACGGAAGGACGCACAGACGCACGCACAGACGGAGTCCATTTTAATACCCCCCGCAAAACGCGTTGCGGGGGATAACTAATAGTATCCTGGATTGGGATTTGACATCTGGACGTATGGTGGGTGCGGCATAGACATCTGGATGCTCACTGGATCGGGAAAACCGGGAAGCATACAGGATGGGCCATGTGAATACCGGGAAGCAATGTGTATGGCGATGACGAAACATGGAGATAAGCGGCATGGAAATGTCAGAAACGGGCAAGCATCCAGGATGGGAATGTCAAAACTTGGATGCATCCAGGATGAGGACGGATTAACCTGCATGCCTTCTGGATGTGGATGAGAACACCTCCATGAATCCTACATGGGGATGTTAAAACCTGATTCCATCCTCGAGGGGGGTGTGAAAACATGGCACCAATCCGGATGGGCATTCAGCAATTAAAAATGATGATTGAAACAGGTACAATCCTCTGTTTGATGGGAGTAACTCTACTGGCTACTGGTACCAAAAAATATTGTGTCTTGCCTCTCTATCAACACCACCGAACACCCACTGGCCTTCGACAGCATGACATTTATGGTATTTTCACTAACCAAACTTTTCCCAACGATGATGTCTGGCCCTCCTCCCCTGTCTTTTCTAGCGTGACTCTACAAAAACTGTACCAGTCACAGGTCGTTGAAAACCAAGTTGAAAAATCATACTCAATATGGGCGTCCATTTGAGTACGATTCAGACTCCAACGATAAATGAATTTCAATCTCAAGCACTCCATCATGCTAATATTACTAATAGCAAACCAACTTCCAGCTCGCAAGTATGCCCCTCAATTTTCAACTCCCTCTTGCCGAGGCCCCCGAGGCCCCTGTAGCTCAATCGGTAGAAAACTTCAAATACCAGCTTCGTGAGTTCAAAACCCCGCTCTGTAAGAAACATTTGCAAAAGTTTCTACAGTGAAAGAACGTATGAGTGACATGTAAGGTCACATCTGATGAACGGTTACTTCCTTACAAGTCCTGGTGAGGGATTCTAAAGGTGCTCCTTCTGTTGTTTTCATTTCCACTAATAGTAACGGATGTGATGATTAACAAATTTACGTACGTGTATGTACTTATTTGACTTGATTCAAAACACTAAGTGTTGGTAAACTTGTCTTGCAACATTATAAGAGAATGATATGGTTTCGGATATGTTTACAATGGCAAAAAGTTTCAACTCAAATGTTAACGAAACGTTTCAGAAACCCCATGGAAAAAAAAATTCAAAACGTTTTTGAACGTTTCTAATGTTTCTCGCCAACGTTTAGTAAAAAAACGTTTTTAAAACGTAAAAGAAATGCACAAAAATAGGTTTTTTAAAAAATAATTTTTTTAACGTTTTTAAGACCATACGGAAACGTTTTTAAAACGTTTTCAAAACGTTTCCGTGTTACCGGGGCTGGATCAGTTATGAATGAGGATGTAAAGGCTGCATGCATGCTGGATGGGGATGTAACATACTCAGTGAATACTGCATAGGGATGATTTAGATTGCTTGAAATTTACTTTTGTGGGACTCGTACTGAAGTGGACATAAAAATGACAAATGATAGCATAAAAATAATATGTTCATTTCCGTAATGTACAACTCTGCACTGAAGCCTTACAAAACCCTAACAATGTGTGACAAGTACTACATTGGTAATACATTTGTGCAATAATATTTAAATGTGACAGGTAGGTAAGAAAGCCCAGAGGGGTGCAGATAGGCACAGGTCGTGAAGTGAGAAAATTACAACAACGTTGCGAAACAAATATGTAAAATATATTTTCAGATGCGGTGCCCTTATTTGGTGGGGGATTGTAAGAGCAGGCCCAAAAGTGACGTGGTGGGGTACGTAGAACCTTCTAGAACATTTCAGAATGAGATGGTTCAAGCGAGGCTCGGTGCATTTGTATGAAAGACACCAATGAGCAATCACACAACATTACTACAGAGAAACACGTGTATGACAGTTGAAAAACACTTCCAAGAGTAAGTACAGTTTGAGTGATGTTTATTGTTGACTTACTAAGAAGTTGAAATAGAATTGTTTGTAGCAATACACATTAAAACATGCAGTCATGATAAATTGCACACAGGAAAGTAATAAAATATTTTTAAAATAAACTTTTTAAACTATGCACTGGAAAAAATTATGTCAGTGGTGTAACAAGCATAAAAGCAATTTTTATCACACTTTAGTTTAGTTTAGTTTCACACTTTAGTTATTGTTTACAAATTATTTCTTTTTTTCAAATTTAAATTACATTGTGTCATTATTCCCACAAAGGGTTATGTAACTTTGGCAAAAATGTCTTGGTGTGAGAAAAATGAAATGGTAACGTATGGTATATTTTCTGATATAAGTTGTATACTTAAGACTGAACATGTGTTATGTATACATTGACATTAAAACTGCCCTCAGTTATCATAAAATATGAGTGTAACGGTTAATTTCTTCTTTTGAAATAATTAAATATTATCAAATACCCTAACCCTGATAATATGATTTTTTTTTTTTTAAATTATTGAAATAGTATTTTCGTCGCAATGTGCTACTGTTCAAAACTTCGTCATATTTTGAGAATGACCCATAAATGGTACCAAAATTGTTACCTATTAATGACATTGCATAACACATTTAACATGCATGTAGTTCTCAGTATGTTTCACTTGCAATAAGCGATTTGGAAAGGAATTTCAAACATAATTAAGACATGCCCATTGCATTTATGTTGGTGGTGCATTTGTATATGGCATGTACAGCAGTGCCCTGTTTATACGGACACTTGTGTTTTTGTTGAAATTGTAGTACTACGGAGAAACAAATTACAGGATATCTGAACCACGGACCATATGTAAAAAGACATAAGACGCCTGCACACTCACAGAAGCTGATAAACTGGTGAATGCAGACACAAGCTTCCTTGTGAGACACGGGTGGGGGAGGTGGCGACTAAATATGATGTGTGTGAAATGTTAGCAACCAGTTAAAAAACAGTTCTGACGTGATGCAAGCTTTCGCATTGTTCATGTACCTAACATAAACTTAAGGATTAAAGTAACTACCAAAACAACGGGGACGTGTTAATTTCAGGTAGTTAATACTCTTGAAAGAGTGACGACATATTTTAGGTTAACGAACGCAAGGACAATCGGTAAAAATGTGTGTGTAAGCATATGTATAAATTTAAAAATAATAATTTATTACATATATATATTGAACCGCATAAAAAACGCAAGTTTTTCAAAATGAATAAATATTCGACCGAACATTGTTAAATATTATAGTGTAACTACACATTGGTTACCTTTGTTGTGAAAAAACAGTTTGTTAATGTTGAGGTTCTGTTTGGTGATTTCTCTTGGATATTGTACATCGCCAAAACGCAGCAATTGAATTGGCCGTGGGATGTGGTTGCAAAAGTTCTTCATGAAAATCATGATGCGTATTATGTCACGGACACATAGGGGTATAAAAATGCCCTCAAATCAGTTTGAAATCACTCCCGACAAACGCCCACCATGAATGCCAAGGTTAACGACGCAACAGAGGAAACAAGCCATCGGCCGTCTTGAAGCTGGACAGAGTGTTGCAGATGTTGCCAATGCATTCCATGTGCACATAACGACCATCTACCGTCTTCAGGAACGTTTTGCTGCTACACAGACCACTGCTGACCGCCAACGTCCTGGACGTCCGAGAGTCACAACACCACGGCAAGATCGACACATTCAACGTTCGCACATCGGGGATCGATTCTTATCTTCTTATCTGCCAACGAGACTGCCCGACAGACTAGTGGACATCACAACCGAGCAATAAGCGGAGATACAGTTCTGCGCAGACTCAGAGCAGTCCACCTAAAACCGTTCACTATTTCTTCACCAAACTTGGCACATACATAGATCTGGTGGTGTGCAAATATATCCAAGAAAGCCCACACAAGTCTAGAAAATGTGGCAAGTCTAGATTTCCTCAGCTTCAGGGTCTGTACCAATCTGCTGAATTCACAAGCCAGAATATGGCTTGTAATTATCAGTTGATCTCTAGCTGTCACTAGTGTTTAATATTAACTCATGGGGAGCCTCCCCCACCTCTCCCCAAGACCCCACGCTGAGCCAAGACCTCCTGCTTCTGCCTGTCCTCTCACTCCAGACAAACAACGTGTGTGATTACACTAGAGACCTGATGACTTATAAAATCTGAGTATTTTCTTTAACTGTTTCATTTTACACTGGCGAGGAGAGGGGATCATTTCGAAAAGTTTTCCATCTCAGGGTAAAAATGAATTGGAACTTTGATGAGGATGAAAGCAAATATACACAGCATTCGTCCAAATCAGAATACAATGATTGAAAAGTACTTAAGTGGTGAAAATGTGTTGTTTTGTTCTCCATCCAGGACATTCGAAATTCTCCCTATTCAGACAAGTCAGTAGAAAATACAAGCCATGCTACTGTTGTTGTTGTGTCATCCTTGATTTGCATGATGAAGAGACAAACAGAGAAATATAAATCATTAGGCTCAAAGCAGTGTACCTCAACGATGTAGGCATTTGTGACTTTATCCATAAACTTTAAAAAGACATTGTCATGGGGATCTGATGGCATATTGTTATCCTCCGCAACAACGAATTTGCGGGAATATAGAAACGAGTTCCGTCCGTCCGTGGGTCCGTCACGCTTTGTCCGAAGCATATCTCCTAAACTATTCGTGATAGCTTAACCAAACTTGGTACACATGTCAACCATGATCCCTACATGTGCCTTTTGGGTTAGACCCAGATATGAATGTTATTTTTTGTTGTTTCCATGGAAACATGACTTAGGCTGTGACTATGAGAATGTCATCTTGTCCGAAGCAAAGCTCCTAAATTATACATGCTAGCTTCATCAAACTTGGTACACATATCAAGCATGATCCATAAATGTGCCATGTGACGGTTAGACCCAGATATGAATTTTATTTTTTGTGGTTTCCATGGAAACGTGACTTGGTACACATGGTAAACTTGGTACACAAATCAAGCATGATCCATAAATGTGCCATTTGATGGTTAGACCCAGATATGAATTTTCTTTTTGTGCTGTTTCCATGGAAACATGACTTAGGCTGTTGTGACCATGAGGATGTCATCTTGTCCGGGGGGGGGGGTAGCCTAATGGTTAAAGCGTTGGCTCGTCACGCCGAAGACCCGGGTTCGAATCCCCACATGGGTACAATGTGTGAAGCCCATTTCGGGTGTCCCCCGCCGTGATGTTGCTGGAATATTGCTAAAACCAACTCAGTCAGTCATCTTGTCCGGAGCAGATCTTCCAAACTATACATGCAAGCTTCATCAAACTTGGAACATATGTCAAGTATGATCCATAGAAGTTTGACCTTGACTGAAATTGGTGGTAGTGCTCATTTCGGAGTAGAACTTAAAACCTTTCAATACTCTCCTTCCACTTTGTAATATAGTCACAGACTTGGTTGGCACATATCATTGCATCCCATTTGTGTAGATTGATGCTCATACTGTTGATCACTGGATTATCTGGTCCAAATTCTATTATTTACAGACAGCTGGAATATTGTTGAGTGTGGCATAAAACTAAAACTCACTCACTCACTGCTATATACACACCAAAACATTCGACATAGTCATAACTAACTGACATATACATGAAGAGTATTTTGCCATTGCGGGGGATATTGATGACTTTTTCTGCTTGTTACATTATATATATGCGACATCAATTAAACTTCCACATATAGTGCAGACACAACCTTTGGATTTTGGAGAATATAAATAACTTTGGATTATTTTTTTTTTGAGATCCAGTTGTCCAGCCTAGGAATATCAAGAGATGCTACCCTTAGCTGGTATCCCTGCTTGCTCTCAAAATAGATTTGGCGACACTTGATACTCATTACCCCAAATCGGCCCACACCACTGGCAGTAGGACCGAGAGGCGGTGGGGGCAGTAAATATTCCTGTCACACACAATTAAAGCAGTAATGGGTGATAAGAATCTTTGCATGTGTTGTGAAATTCCAAGAAATTATCCCTCTGCAGATTTGTTTAGTCTCTGAAAATGAAGAAAGTCTCAGGGCTCCTTTTCATTATATATTTTTTTTTTACTATGAACTTTTTTCAGTAAAATATGTTCATTTCAGAGACTAGTTGTTAGATCTTACCACATAAGCAGTAGTAGCGTATGTCCACCTCGTGCATTCACTACAGCTGTGCACCACCTGAACATGGAGTGAATCAGACGGTTGACAAAGGCCCTAGGGATTGCCGCACCTGTCCGGATGATGGCTGCCTGGAGTTCTGCTGCAGTTGTCGGATGTGGTCGGACTTCATTCAGTCGTCTCTGCAGCTCGTCCCAAAAATGTTCGATCGGGTTTAAATCGGGACTGACAGCAGGCCATGGCAGTAGTCGGATGTTATGCTGCTGGAAAAATGCCTTAGTGACTCTAGCAGTGTGGCGCCTGGCATTATCTTGCTGGAAAATGTGTTGCTGGTGTCGGACGAAAAATGGCACAACCTGGGGTCGGAGGATCTGGTCGATATAACGTTGGGCAGTGACTCCATTTCCCCGACCTGGCCAAATATTCTGGAAGAATACTGGCCCTAATCTCTGATTCAGGCCAATCGCTGCCCATACCATAATGCTTGGACCTCCCCATGCATCGTCTTCCATTACACATTCGTCAGCAAAGCGTTCACCTCGTCTTCGCCATATTCGAACTCGGTCGTCAGCATGAGAAATGCAAAACCGACTTTCATCAGAGAACCATACTAGTCTCCACTGTTGTCGACGCCAGTTTCGATGCAACATAGCCCACTGCAGACGATTCTGACGATGTCTCGGTGTGAGGATAGGACGTCGAGCTGGACGACGACAACGGAGGTGGACTGCTCTGAGTCTGCGCAGAACTGTATCTCCGCTTATTGCTCGGTTGTGATGTCCACTAGTCTGTCGGGCAGTCTCGTTGGCAGATAAGAATCGATCCCCGATGTGCGAACGTTGAATGTGTCGATCTTGCCGTGGTGTTGTGACTCTCGGACGTCCAGGACGTTGGCGGTCAGCAGTGGTCTGTGTAGCAGCAAAACGTTCCTGAAGACGGTAGATGGTCGTTATGTGCACATGGAATGCATTGGCAACATCTGCAACACTCTGTCCAGCTTCAAGACGGCCGATGGCTTGTTCCCTCTGTTGCATCGTTAACCTTGGCATTCTTGCTGTGTAGCGAGGTAAACAGTCTTGCTCTACAAGGAGCAGTTATCAGATGATGACAATATTTTTTCCCCAAGATCTGAAGATATAACAGAGAATATTCCAGAAATTATAAGTTTTACAGACTTACTTGGTTGTTGTTTAACGCCGCACCCAGCAATATATTCCAGCTTTATTGCGGCGGTCTGTAAATATTCGAGACTGGACCAGACAATCTAGTGATCATTATCATGAGAATCGATATACGCAATTGGGATGCGAAGACATGTGTCAGCCAAGTCACCGATCCCGTTAGTCACGTCTTGCAACAAGCATGAATTTTTAAACAAATGCTGTACAACTCTTCTCCACGAATATGCTTCCACGGATTTTGATCCACGTCGATTTTCTGGCGTCAGAATGTTTCGGTCGGTCTAGGCCGATACACCTCTGTACGTACTGTAAAGGTTTCTGGCTTGAACCTGTGTCGAAGGTGCATAGTTTGAATTCATCGCTCTTAATGTGTGGTCGCGTTGGTGGTCGTGTGACTAAGGAGACGGTCTATAACTTGATTGCTTTCCTCAAAATGTCGCCAGAAGTGCCAAATGCGGTGTCTATGGACCTTAAATAGACGGGCATCATCACACTGCGAGGTTCCAGACTAAAGCATACCTATAGCTCTGCATCTGCCATTTCCTCGAGGAATGTCGAAAGTGTTCCATTAACGATGAAGCGATGTCTTTTCTGTGACTTCTACACTTCTTAAGACAGCATGAGCGGAAACGATACGTGGTTGGTTTCACAGTGAACATTTCTGGAATACGTCATGTTTCTTGCCAATTTCGTGCAATTCGGGCAACAACGGTATGGTTGTGTTTCTTCGACCATTTTAATTCAGTCTTTCGCTGGTTCAAATATACAAATTCATTCAGTGAAAAGGTTGAACATGAGGTCTAATATTCTGTTTAATACTTCTCGTGTCGTTTGGCCATCCATTCATACTGACAAACACGGGCCTGGACTATTAGACATATGTGTTACTATTTAGGTCGTATTAACTCGAGTGTTCCAACAAATGAGAATTAACGTTTAACCATTCAATATTCCGGAGTATCAGGTTCCTCCTCAGTAATTATGGCAATTAGAACTCTTTGGAAGCATAAGAAGGGCAACGCTGACTCAATATTACAAATTCTCCCTAAGAACAATAGAGTTTAAATATTAACGTTTCCCTTCGAAGATGTAAGCCCATGACAACCATAACAAATACAAAGATATGCTCTTGGATAATTCTTAAATATTCTTACATTAGAACTAAACTGGCGAAAAATTCCATACACTTTTGATGAAATATGTGTAATATGCATCCTAATCGACATTATCGGTAGTGGGGTAGCATAGCGGTTAAAGCTTTCACTCGTCCTGTACACCAGTCCCAGGACAAAGCTGTGGTAATAGGAAATCTTGAACCACGTACTTGCTCATGTTTAGAGCTTTGTGCAACATTGCAACGTTGTTTTTCGCTCATTCTAGCTGTTTTCACAACGCAAGAATGATAGAAAAGGCCAGGTTTGACGAAGATGTGTGCAATTGTTGCTTTACTGCCGAGTCAGCTAAGATACATCACGTTCACTATTCAAAGTGAACGCTATGTGTGTTAGTTACTGCCAGATTTTTCAGGACAGGGAATACCTACCTGTCAACAGTAAACTTACAGAACAGAATCATGCGTCCACCTCTGCTCTTCCTATCTCTTAGAATACAGCTTGCTGCAGCCCGTGATGGGAACTGGTGGGACTTCCTGTCCTATGTCAATGTGAAGACGTACACACCCATGCCATCAATCTTTTGTCAAGTGAGTATATCCTGTATTATAAAATATAACTCGATATGAAGTTGAATACAAATACCTTTACGCTTCAATTTTTAGCAATGTTCAATACGATTTCATGTAGGTATCTTCCCGACTTTGAGATGAGTCACAATTTGCACATGCATGTTAATGCGACTGGGAAAAATGGAAAGATGCATCTTCAGAATCGGAGAATTACTGAGTTGATACCAGTCTGTGGCAAACTGTACAAGTCTTTAAAGGAACACTACGCTCAAGGTTGCTTCTTTCTTTGTGACCAAGCTTGGTATCAGGTTGGCCGAAGACAGCAGTAGGTTACAATACAATTCGCAGATGAGTTGAGGTATGTTGACCTCTGATTGCCGCCCAATGGTGATCAGCTGTCAAGACGACGTTAATCCATGTCGTCATTTTGGGAAGAATGTTTAATGGTATTCCGTGGGATGAAAAATCATCTTTGTTTATGGAAACTTGAAAGACACGCGCTACCGTGATGACATCGATAGAGACCTGGGCCTATATTTTCGAAGCTCTCTTAGCGCTAAGATAGTCGTAGGTTAATGTTAATGTATGGCACTTACGACTATCTTTTTGCTAAGAGAGCTTCGAAATCTAGGCCCAGAATTTGCCCCCCTGAGCAGATGATAATGCCCGCCTCATGATGTCAACAAATGATATGACAGACTTACACCAACTCTTTCAAGGTGCACAGCTCTGACTCTTGATGGTGCTCTTTTCCAAAGCATAGCATTTGGGAGAGAGAGAGAGAGAGAGAGAGAGATTTATGGATTTATGAAGCAGCAAGTCTTACTGCTAATCACACATTGAGATTTGTATTGTATTTATGACATATGCACATTAATATTTTACAAAATATTTAAATTTTGCTCTCAAAATCCAAAATATTACCGATGCCATTGTCTACTAAACTCCTCTAATCTCAGCTGATGCCCATGTGTTGCTGCTTCCCTGCAGGTGTTGCTCACTGTATTCATGGTACTACAGGGGACCATCACCAGACTCATCAACTTCCTCGGCTTCACCGGATAGGTCATCTCCTTTGTCTGTGCTCTATGTTGTATTGTACTGAGGTTTAAATAAAGGACGACCCGAAACGAATAAAGGTATTGTAACTGATAATTGGTTCAAATCCCAGTACGACAGGATTATGTTTCTAGGTTTGATGGCACCCTAATGTGTATCGCCAAAGTGGAAAATATCTAAACCTCTATCTCCTCCAACCGCATTCGTTACGCTGTCAAGATGCGACATGTTCGACTATGTAAGTTAGGCTGTCAAGTTGCAACATATTCGACTATATAAGTTAGGTTGTCAAGACGCGAAAAGCTCGACTACAGAAGTTACGCTGTCAAGCTGCGACATATTCGACTATATAAATTAAGTCGCAGGCATATGTAAGCCATATTTTGCCTTCTTCTTTCAGGTGGGGCGGTGGGGTAGCCTATTGGTTAAGGCGTTCGTTCGTCACGCCGAAGACCTGGGTTCGATTCCCCACATGGGTACAATGTGTTAAGCCCATTTCTGGTGTTCCCCGCCGTGATATTGCTGGAATATTGCTAAAAGCGGCGTAAAACCAAACTCACTCACTCACTCTTTCAGGTTCCCCTCCTCATCCATATCAGCTTCATGCTGTGGTGTTTGTTCTTCATTGTTGCACCTATTGCACAGAATCCACAGATTGAGGTGCTGTATGCCACCATATTCATTGCTGGGCGTCTCGTTGTCTATTTCCCACACATCCACTTCAACTTAAAACCAAAATGGTTTGGTAAGTGTATAACGGTATCTATGTTCTTCACATGGTATGATATTCTTGGAATTGATTGATGCAATGTAATTCATTGGTGTCCATGATATTCAGATGGCATAACTAATTTTACGCATTCTATCATACCAACACCCACAAGATAATAACAGGAACAAGGTTAATATGCAAAAACCTCTACAGATACAAATACACACTGATGAAATAAATATATCGACACCAAATGGCTTGGGTGCTGGCTATAGCTCCTCATAACAAGAACTATTGAAAAGTTGAAGTCATCCCCATTGCCACAGTCTTGTGAAGACGTTTTGTCACTGAAAATCCTTACGTGTAAATACAACACAGTTGAAACAGTTGCACGGGAATCTTATGCTTCTAGTTGAGGTCGGTAACTTAGTGGAAGGGATATTTGATCATTATTGACCGATGTGAAATCATCAACATACCTGAACTATATTTCAACGCCATGTGCAAATTCTCTAACTTTGGTTTTTTCAATCCCGGCAGATGTTCTGATTGACGTGCATGTTATATATTAAGAAACGGACATGTTAAGAAGCGGACAAGTAAGACCGGAAGTACAATTTGTGCCTGAAAAGATGGCAACTTCTTGCCTTAATGACTCATCACACTTTTTCACACCCCAAAAATTTTGGTTTTACGTGCGTCCTTAAAGATAACGATAATCGTACTATAAGTAATAATAATAATAATAATAATTGAATTATAGAGCGCCTATTTCCAAAAGATATTGCTCAATGGAGCAATGAAGAGAAACAGATGAGTTTTGAGGGCAGTTTTGAAAGCGTCCGCAGATTCTATTTCTTTAAGGGCGAGTGGTAGAATGTTCCAGAGATAGGGGGCTGCAGCAGAGAACGCTCTTGATCCCAAGGTACGATTAAGTACATATAATTCATGTTGCAGTTCATTATCTTCAAATCTCAAACATACCCCATTCTTGTCCACAGGAAAGATATCTTTAACTTCTGATGCAGGTTGCACCAAGTACGTAAGTGGACTCATACTAAAAGATGGACCACAACTTCATATAACCTGATTACGGAGAACGTGTGAACACAAAACAATACTCAGTCCATGTGTGCAAGCGTACCGTTGCTCAGATTTTGTTGCTATCTCGACCTCAAGAGTCACAACAAAGTCCGACGAGGATATCCTATGAGATGTTTGCTTACTGCTTGATGCTTAACGATTGGTCGATGAATTTATAAAACTGTTCGTGATACTTTGTGAGCGGATTGAGGTTGTTCGCTTCTTGTTTCGTCTATTGACCCAGTCAAGAACTTTATAATTCCTTGTCAAAAGTGGATATGTTTATTTTCAGTACTTAATAAGGCCACAGGCTTATAGTACATTACAATGCAAAATATACAACCAGACATAGTTTTTATGAACATAATACCTCGCTACTGAAACAGTAAAAACGGCAACTTTAAATCTCTACAACTGGATAAAAAAACGAAGAGCCAGCAACTCGACCAAATGTTGACATTTTCCAGCTTGGACAAAAGTTACATTCCCTTTTTAAAGTATTTCTGTTGTGTTATTTGGCATTTATCATCATCATACTTGTGTGCACACTTGTTTAGTTTACTTTCCATTCGTCTGAAATGATTGACAGCAATTATTTTGACATATTCAATACTTTATATACTCGAGGCGATTCAAGGTTGCTAGGAAATTTGAAAGAAGCGAGGATCGTAATGCGCATGCGCAGTAGAGGTCTAAGTTCGTTGATACAAAACTGTTGCAGATTCATAGTCTTTCGTTGCCGTTTTTACTGTTTCAGTAGCGATGTAATATGTTTATGTTGGTATTTCCACGATTAATGTGGGCTTTTCTGCGTTTTTCTGCACAGTGGAAAAGTTTTCTTTGTTAGGTCTGAATCAGCGACGTTGTTTCAAAAGTTATCATTCGCAAGGTCTCGGTAAAACTAGAATCTCTTCCCCTGCGCGATGCGCAAACGTTTCTTCTAGTAAGAACTCAGTCATGTAACAGCAGATCAATGTGGTCTCCATCGCCCTCGTTGACAACGGACTAGCTTGCCATTAAATGTCTTGTGTGTCACATCAACAGTCCCCGGGATATTTGTGGCCCCACATTTGCTTGTATTTAGTCAAGCTGGATCTAAGTCGATGTAACACGTGTTCTGATTGGATAGAAAGAAGGGAGATAATTCGTTGTAATATAGAACACACTTTAGGGATAACAACTTCTTTTTATTCGAGAGTGCAAAAGAAGTTGTTATCCATAAAGTTTGTTCTATATTGTACTTCCCAACTTCTAAAATGCCACTCAAGGAAGAGATAATTCGTGTTGCGATTTTTTGCCGCTAGAAGATTTTACAAGAACCGGGAAATATGGCCGTATTAGAACAGAGGTTCGTAGAAAGATATGACAAGTAACACAAGTGGGAAGAGAATGATTTCCACCCTGCTTCAACACGTTTGTATGCATTTTCCTGGACCCGTGAAGATCTGGGTTAGAACTGGTCTTCATCAACCCATGTTTGTCGTAAGAGGCGACTGACGGGATCGGGTGGTCAGGCTCGCTGGCTTGGTTGACATGTCATCGTATCCCGTTTGCTTAGATACTGTTGATCACTGGATTGTGTTGTCGAGATTGGATTATTTAACTACTCCAGCTCGGATATTGCTGAGTGCGGCGTAAAACAACAACCTAACATACCTGCACGTACATCATACGTTATCACCATAACTCAGGTTTCTGAATTGTTATTATCAAAAGCCAGACATTATGTGCCGGCTTCTTTTAGGAAATTACCATTACATTTCTTTTCTTTTAAAGACTTGCAATAATCTCTCGAAGCGGATGTTGTAATTAATCAGATAATATCCATGTTTATTAAACCAGCATCAACCTGTGATTGCCTGAACAAAATAATTTCTTAAACTTTCACGTAAAAGTTCTATTTTTAATGAGCCGAAATGGCAATGGAATCTGTTTCGTCAGATAAACTGCTTATTCTGTTTTGTATTTTTAAGATTGAAGAAATTAAAACAGTTGTTATATGACTGTTAATAACGTTTCATCAGATAATTGAATGTCATATACGGTTTCCTAAAATATCAGGTGATCTCTTACTTCAAATTCTTTTTCTACTTCATTTTAATACGTTGTATGGAATATGAAAAACATTAACTACAGTAAAACTCCCTGATTGAATGGTTCTTCTAATCAAGGTATGATTTGCTAGCCTATCAAACATTAGAGCACTAACTTATTGATTTGGACTTACCCACAGATAAAAAGAAATTCAATATATTTCTCGTTAACAAAAGCTGTTCAGAAATATAAAAAGTACACTAAGTAAAAGCAATCCCGTCCTTCACTTCAAGCCCAAACTCTTATTGTTCAAAACAAAGGAGGAAACGATATATTTTCGGCGGGGACACCAGAAATTGTCTTCACACATTGTACCCATGTTGGGAATGCCCGATTCCCCACATGGGTACAATGTGTGAATCCCATTTCTGCCGTCCCCCGCCGTGAATATTGCTAACAGCGGCGTAACGCTAAACTCACTCACTCACACTCGCCCAATTGGGAATTGTCACATCATTTTATTAGTGATGTTTCTTGTTTGCTATACGACCATCCCACCGTCATTCGAGGTTTCAGTTCGGATTCGAGTGAATTCAAATGTTAATCGACTGTTTGCGAAACTGTGAGAATCATATTGATACTAAATAGTGAACTGAAGACATGTCAATAACCCGAACAGATCCAGGATGGAATTAGTCTTCAATAACCCGAACAGATCCAGGAACAGATCCAGGATGGAATTAGTCTTCAATAACCCGAACAGATCCAGGATGGAATTAGTCTTCAATAACCCGAACAGATCCAGGTTGGAATTAGTCTTCAATAACCCGAACAGATCCAGGTTGGAATTAGTCTTCAATAACCGGAACAGATCCAGGTTGGAATTAGTCTTCAATAACCGGAACAGATCCAGGTTGGAATTAGTCTTCAATAACCCGAACAGAACCAGGTTGGAATTAGTCTTCAATAACCCATGCCTACCGTAAGAGGCGACTAACGGGATCGGGTGGTCAGGCTCGCTGACTTAGTTGACACATGTCATCATATGTCAATGGCGTAGATCAGTGTTCATGTTGTTGATTACTCGATTGTCTGGTCCAGACTCAATTATTTACATACCGTCGCCATATAGCTGGAATAGTGCTGAGTTAAACATCAAACAAGCAAACAAATACATGTTAATTGGAAAAACAATTATGTCGTTGTGCATTGAGGACCATCTATTCAAACCATTCTTATTGGTAAAAAATACTGTTTGGCTCAACGCCAATATCCTTTTATCACCTATGCTCACACACATTTCAAGTCTTTGTTAGAGGATAAGAGTTACGATCATCGTGAGTGAGTGAGTTGTGTTTTACCCTACTTTTAGCAATATTCCAACAATATCAGGGCGGCTTCACACAATGTACCCATTTGAGGAGTCGAACCCGGGCCTTTGGTGTCACGAGCGAATGCCTTAACCACTGTACGTAATATAATTTTTATGTACAATCTAAAGTGTGCATTTTGCGGCTCACATCTCTATTATGGGATAAAGCTATCTATTTGCCAAACATACACGGATTCCTCCAGGCGTGCTTCTGTTAATGTGACCAATGTCATTTTTAACTCGTTCCAGTGCTTATTAGAGTAGTAACCAGTTAATTTCGATTGTAGGTGGATTTTGACGTTGATGTGCACGTCTGCCAGTGACGTTACCAACATTGTCAATGTTACAGGTCATTACAGTGTCTACATGAGTGTCGGAAACGTTCTTGTACTTTCACCTCAAAACATCATACTCCCTACGTGTCTGTGTAGTATAGAACACGCCGGGTCGTTATTCTTCTACCCAAAACATTCGAGATCTACACGTGTTATGCAGGGACAAGCCGAAAAGCGAC